GTTGTTTCCCGCTCCCTTGAGAAAACTGCTTGAACTCGCTGTCGTGTTGGTTTTTTAGATGTTTTATCAAGTTACTTGTGTTAAAGCTGCTAGGGTTTTTTCCTCCTCTGGACAACTTCGCTGAACATAATTTGCAGTCGGCCTTACTACTGTCACCTTCGTTCACCTGAAAATACCTCCACACCGCYGACATAACGCCTCCTCTGCAACCTGCTTGCTTGTAAAAGTTTGTGACCAACGTGCTCGTCTTCTTCTTCTTCTGTTTTTTTTTATGCGGCTGGCATGTCTGTTGCGCGATTCCGCCRCCTACTGGTTTAGAGCGTCTATGCACAAACTGAGCTAAATGAAGCTGGTATCGGTTCCTGTAGTATCGGAGTACTTTTGTAAGTACGAGTACGAGTTAACGCACATGGTATCGGACCGATACTCGATACTGGTATCGGTATCGGTGCATCCCTAAAAACCGCCAAGCCCAATGGAGGGGGCGGCATCTGTGTAGAGCTGTATGTCGTCTGGATGGGAGATGAAATCATTGTAAAAGAAAGGGATGTTGTTCCAGGAAGACAGAAAATGGTGCCAGAGCTTCATTTCCATCCTGCAGGCATCGTCAAGGGTAAGACGGCCATGGAGTGACGGGACGCTGGCAGTGGTGGATAAAAGATGGGAAATGAAAGATTTCCCCTGGGGGATGATGCGGATGGCATAATTTAGGTGGCCGAGAAGAGACAACAGCTGCTGTTTGGTGCAGGAATCTATGAGCATGAAGTTAGAGGGGATCAGGGTGATGCAATGCACCTTCTTGGGAGGTAGGGAAGCCTGAAAGGAGGAGGAGTCTAGGGTGATGCCTAAAAACTCCAATGAAGTAAGAGGACCGATTGTCTTTTCTTCGGAAAGAGGAATGCCTAGATCTGAAAAGGCATGGGTGAGAGCCCTGAGCAAGGTGAAGAGGAGGGAGGGGTGATGATAAGAAAGTCATCCAGAAGGTGGAGAACATAAGGGAGCCTGAAATTATTAAGAAGGATCCAGCAAAGAGCTTCGGACAGTGAATCAAAAATCTTGGGGCTGCTTCGGCAGCCCAAGGTGAGCCAAACTGCAAAGTAGTAAGTGCCCTTCCAATACACGCCAAAAAAGCGCCAGAAGTCTGGGTGAATGGGTAAGATCTTGAAAGCACTAGTAATGTCCGCCTTTGAGAGCCAGGCTACCCTGCCCGCTAGATGAATGAGGCGGATGGTGTGGTCGAGGGTAGCGTATTGCATGGAAAAGTCTGAGAAAGGGATGAGACTATTAATGCTTGGTACGTGGGACCTGTGAGGGGTGGACAAGTCAATGATCAGCCTCTTCTTGCCTGAGTATTTTCGGGTGGCTATGCCAATGGGGCTGACACGAAAGACGGAAAAGGGGGGCTAGCTGAAGGGACCAATCATGAATCGGTCCTGGACTTCTTTAGCTAAAAGGGCATCAACTATGTCTGGCTCAGAGAGGGTGGACTGAAGGTTGCCGCAGTGGATGTTGCGATCTGGGTGGGTCACTAGACCCGGGTGAAAACCAAAAGTGAAGCCATGAATAAGAAACTCAAGGAAATCCCGATCAGGATGGTGTTTTAAGGCGGAGAGTAGAGCACTCACCCTAATGGGCGTGGCCAGGTGGCGTGCTACTCAGGTGGGGTTGTGGGGACAGGAGGACTGGGCATGAGCACCGCCGCAGAAGGAGCAGGTGTGCAGAAATCTGCAACTAGAAACAGAGCAGCACAGGTCATTGAAGTTGTTGCACACCATGCGGCTGCCTTGGTAGAGGATGGGGCGGCCGCGTTTGTCGATGCCCCCAGGGGGAGGGGCAATGGGCCTGCGCTGAACAGGAAGGGACTTGGAGATTGGGGGAGGGGGTGGGGCGGTAGGAGACAAACATTCAAAAACAGAAGGGCCACGGGCGGCGGAGGACCGAGAACGGAGGGGCATGATGAAAGTGCAGGCAGTGGCAGGGTGTGAAGGAGCCCCACAGAGACTGCATCTAATGGAAGCTCGAGTGGCGAAGACACGGCAGTAGAGCTCTGAGTCCAGATCACCCCAAAAGGTCCCCTGGTTAAACTGGGCTAACCGACCTGCTGTCTGAGTGGCAAAAAGGACATGGTACTCGTAAAAGGCCGCGCCTCCGAAACGGAGTGCCATATCGAGCACGATGGAAAGATAATCGTCGAGCTCTGAACGGCGGTCGGGGAAAAGGGAACAAATTGTGTCCCTAAAGAGTGAGAAGGCCAAAGCGAACTCAGCTGGGGTGAGTTCCTTGGAACGGGAGACTGAGGGGTGGCCTAGTTGCATGGGCCCCAGGTTGGTTAGCAGCTCGCAGGGCAGGCCGGAGTGGCTGAGGGAGGGCTGAAGGAGTAAGGCTAAATCAACATAATTACCATTCAGAATCTGCTGGTGCAGAGCAGGGGAAACTGGGGAGGGGCAAGCCAGGGTTGAGGGGGGGCGAAGTGGGGGTACTGCTGTGGATAGATAGTCGTGGTTAGAATGATGGGAAGGAACATAGGATGTCAGGAGAAGGGGATTGGGGAAGGATAAAGGGAGAAATGAAGGCGCAAGAGGTGTAAAAGGGGGCCCCGAGATGGCCGCTCGTTGAGCCGGGGCTACAGATGGTAAAGGTAGGGATGAAGGAGGTGGATGATGAGCTTGAATGTGCTCGCTAGAAAAGGGGAGGGGAGAGGAAAAGGTTTGAGAAAGAGATGGGAGAGAAGAAAAAGAGACAGAGGGATGAAGGGATGAATGAACGGAGGGGATGGGTGAGGCTGACTGGCCTGTGGTTGAACGACAGGGTCAACATGGGAGGGTTGGGATGAGGAGGGTAAAGAAAGAGAAGGTACAGAAACGACAGGGGGTGATACGACCTGACTCCCACTAGGGGGAGCTGTTGGCGCTGGCATGGACCCGGCTGGAGTTGGGGCTGTGTCGTCACCGCTGAAGACGGAGGCGGAAGTAGTCTGGTGAGTGGGTTGTAGCTGGATCATTGGAGCTGGGTGCCAATTTTTGGATGGCTGAGCTGTAGAGGAACATTGAAGATGAGTTGAGGTGAGCAGCTGAAAGAGGGTGGACTTGGAGGATGAGCGGTTAAAAGGAATTCCTCTGTCCTGCAACGCGCTACGGAGCTCCGCTGCAGTCCATCCTGTGGGAGCGAGGCGGCTTGTGGGTGCGGATGAGAAACATCGTGCCCAGGTGGATGCAGCGGGTCGGGGAGAAACGGGATGAAGAGGCCGACTGGAGCAGCGGAGGAGCCCGCAGCCACGGGGCTTGGCCTTGGACTGAGGAGCGGCGGAGGGTGGAGGCGCTGGAGTTGATGCGGGTTGAGAGGAGGACGGGGGCAGTGGGTAGGGCTGTGAACGGGCATGCCAGCGAGGGATCTGCCTGACGACAGAAGGTGGGGGAACTTTGGGGGGCGGTTGGAAGCTGAAAAGTGGGTCGTCCGAATCGGAGGAATCGGGATCCAGGAAGAGGACGTCCATGGTGAGTTGAGAAACTCTGTCTTTTCTTTCTTTTCTTTTCTGAAAAGGCTTGCGCGGTACGAACGCATGTCGAGACAGCGAGCTAAGGGCAGATGCCAGGTGAGGCGAGTTTAAATAGACGACGACTGATTGCTGCAGGTGAGAGGCGTGGTCCTGCTCCCGAACCTAAATTAATGTCTTAACTTCATTTAGATTAGATTACATTAGATTGACTTTATTGTCATTGTACAGAGCACAATGAAATTACAGTTCAGAACACCCGTTTAGAAGAAGACAGAACATAACAAACATAGGAGAACAGGTGCCCTGGGTCATGCAGCCACTGACCCTACACAAAGCAAGGATCATCTTCATGAAGACATCATGAGGAGGCCCTTAACAGAAAAACTAAAAACCACACAAGGGAAGATGAGGAAAAAAAACAAAATATCAACAATGTGACACACTGTGGTGTTTACAAAAAAATCTCTGCATAGAGCACATTTATTAGCCAGAGGAGTAGGTGAGTTTAGGGGKGTGTGTATCTGAAGCCATGAGTGTTGTATGCACTTGTGTGAATATCTGAAGAATGAGCCCGAAGCATCTAGTCCACAAAACCCGCACAGCCATAGTTCAGAATATTGATGTTAATTGTTCATTCTGTGCAGCCCTAAGCTTGCTCCAGGAACCAGATCACAGACGGGTGTGAGAGTGGGGGGAGGTGTGGGGCAGACCCTCAGTCGATGTAAACATCCAGGAAGGTTTAGTTCCACAGCTCAAGGCCATTGTAGGAGAGAGCCAAATTCTGTAATCAGTTGTTTTGGGAACAGAAGAGCCAGGCAGACAATTCTAATTTTCCATCTGCCTTCAACATCCGCTAGTACAACTCAATGTGGTGAATCCAATCAGACAAATAATGTGGACAAATCCCACCGAGCCGTGATATCAGTTTTCTCCAAGATCAATTCCATCTGGACAGCAAAGTCCAGGAACCACAGCCGGCCCGCGACCCTCCGTAGAACCTGTTGCAGACCGAGTCCAGCTCGCTTAAGGCAAAAGTCTGAATGTTTTATAGCAGAGGTTCCCAAACTTTTTGTCTTCTGACCCACAAAATATTCATGGCAAAAACTTGTGACCCCAAATATTACTGGTCTGAGTACACAAACTCCGTTAATAACCCTAAAAACACAGGCTTTTGACAATCGAAACAGCTTGTACACACATATAAATACTTATTTTTACTTATTTTGTGTTTTTGTAATAATTATAGGAAAATATTACATCAGCAATTATTTTATTACCTTTTAAATTGATTTCTGGAGATTATCCAAGGTGCTTCATGACCCATAATTGGGTCCCAAGCCCAACTTTGGGAACTAAAGTGCGGTGGTTCCCAAACGTTTCAGCTTTTGACCCACAAAATAACAGTAGCAGAGACCTGTGCCCCCAACTATTTTTGGATGATAATCATTTGTATCAGGTCAACAAAACACGGGCATAGTAACAAAATTTTTATACTACATTTATCCATTTTAAATACTGTATACTAACCTCACTCCTTTGTAACAACTAAGGCAAAAATGTAATTAATTCAGAAAATCTTTTCAGGACCCCACCTTGAAGTTTTGGGACCCCACTTTGGATCCCGACCCCAACTTTGGGAAACACTGCTTTATAGAACGGCCATCCTTCATAATGGTTAGGCAGCCAGGAAATGTACTGCCACCGACACTGTTTTGTAGAAACACCTGGAGACAACCAAGCCAATCTGTAGAATCCAGTGATCAGAATCCAAATATATATCCAGAACAGAGCAGAACAGAGGTCCCACCTTTGACATGTCCTCCCATGGAAGAAAAAACTTTGTTCCAAGAATTTATTAAGAGACCAGCTAACCAAATCCATAAAAAAAATTACATAATTTCTGGTTTCGGGTGAAAACGTAGAGAAGGCTCCGAGCAGCAAAGCAGGGAAGATAAGGAAGGGCAGGATAGAAGGTAAAAGCGTCTTACTCCTCCGAGAGCGGAAAAAATAAATAAAAATATTCGGAGGTTATTGTATGTTCTGTTTCCAGTGAATCAGAGCTGTTAGCTCCCTGTCCTCTGCACACAGAAGCAGAAAGAAGCGTGTATTTGTGTGGATTTCCAGTGAGGGACGTTTGTCACGTTCATGTGTGACAGCCCCCCTTCTCCTGTCATTTGAATCACTTTATTCTCTGCGATGCTGAGGCTGTGTGGGCAGCGGTGGGGGAGGATTTTGTGCTGACGTTTTGTTCCTCTCGCTCTCTTGTTATTGCAGTGTTGAAGATGCAGCGCTGCGCCACCCTCCTCCAGCCYGCCTGCTCTATTTTCTACCCAGACAGGAGAAGCATTGCTCCTGTCGCTTCTCTCCTTTTATTGTTTGTCTTCCCCATTCGTCCTCACTTTCTCTTTGTCCTCAACAAAAGACACGCTGTTCTTCCCTCCCTCTCATCCTCACAAGAATTCTCTCTCTCCAACAGCTTCCATTAGCACTTACCATTATATTTTCTGGGCTTTTTCCTTCACCACAAATCCAATCTGTGGGGTTTTGTGTTTGTTTTATCTTCTTTATTGTGATGCTTTGTTCTCTTTCGCCTGTCTTTTTTTATTTTTTATTTTGCTATCCTAGTTATGACAAGATTACGATTTTTTTATGTGTAGTAGCTTTTCTATACTGAGATTCACATAATTAAAGCCAATCCATGCATTCTGGCATATTCTGGCATTTCATGGCACATATAAGCATGACTGAAAGACATACTGTATTTAGTCAAGATATTAGAAATGTCCAAAAAGGTTGATCAGAATTCATTTTTAACATCAGAACTCCCTCCTTACATCATAGAGTGTTACACAGTATAATACACAGTATTGTTGTTTGCTTGGAAAAGCTTATGACGTTGTGCTATTGCATGTAGAAATGACAGATTAAAGGTTTAATCTTAGACTGAAGATGAAACGGACAAATATGACTTTAAGCATATAAAAGTTCAAACTGAACATTTTGATCCATACTGTGAGTTAAAGAACCAACATGTAACCTGTAAAAGTATTTTTCACCTGTCACCAGAGATACCGTATAAATGGAAATGATTTTGCCTGTACCTGCTTCGTTAGCAAAATATCTCAAACTACAGAACGTGTTTCAATGAAACATTCAGGAAGTGATGGAAGTCTACAACTGCTGATTTTTTTCTCAGTCAACTACATTCAAGATGGAAAATAAATCATAAGATGCAAACAACTCCGTCAGCTTTAGAGAAACTGAACTAAATGTTGGTGTGGTACTATCTGAGACTCATCCTCCTCAGCACCGTCTCTGAGCTCTGACACAGATCAGTCAATATCTCGTCAGTCTGCAGAGTATCATTTAGAAAGTTGAACCAAACTCATCCATCATTTCAGTCTAAAACTCAGACAAGGTAGGCTTTTATGGTTTTAGGAATCAGTCTACCACCAGATCTGCTTTACAGATTTACAATAAAAGTCTACAACATTCAAGGGCCCGAATATTTTTATGGACTCTGTGTATGTTTAAAGTCTTGGGTGACATTTATTGCAAACATGTAATCTTTTTTTTATGTGAGCCGTCCCAGCAGTGAAGTGTCACTTCCTTCTTGTTAGAAAGGCAACAAAGCTGTTTGAGGACATTAAATCAGCCTCTCATACAAATACTGATTATTAATGTGTATAAATGAAGTTACAGCTCATTTCACAGCTTGTCATTTCAAAAACATGAAAGAAACACAATGTACACTTTGTTACCAGGACTTCTGGTTATACTTGGATGAATAAACACTTGGTGCCTGCAGGTGCATTAGCATAAAAGTGCTGTACAGTTTGAAGAATCAATGCTTGCTGTTCAAAATGAGCAGGGAATCATAGAACAGCAAAATCTTATCTGGAGAATGTCTTTAGGGTTAAGGTTAAGATGTTGGAAAGAGAAATTTGTGTTGTTAGAATAAAATGTCAATGTTATAAAACTAATGTGGGCATCAGTTTTTGCCTTAACAAAGTTAAAAATGGGATGGGCGAGGTTGTTTGTCTGAAATAATCTCAAAACAACCTTCTAAATATAAAGTATCAAATACTGCTCTGTTATTTAATCTATTTTGTAAGCATCTAATTTCATATAATCTGGTTTGTTCATGTGTTCCCTCAGACCCTCTGTGCATCCAGAGATTTGACCCAGGTCTGGGCCTCATCACACCCATAAACCCCATGATGGCAGGAATTAGCCTGGTCCCACCTCCACCTGTTCCCCCCGATGTTCCCATCATCAAGGAGATCATCCACTGCAAGAGCTGCACTCTGTTCCCCCAGAACCCAAGTGAGACACCCCCATGTGACCCCTGCCACACGCACTCTAAATGACACAATGTCACACCAATCAAAAAATACACTAAAGTGTTGTTAAAACTAAATGTTGTAAAAACTAAATGTTTATTTCAACCCATGACTCAGGATCTTGGTTGGGTGATTAAGAAAGAGGGGTTAGGGTTATTAGACTTCTGTGCTTTAGGTGATGTTTATAATAATCCACATTCAGAGAACTAAAGAATAAAAAAAAATCAGTCCAGACAAAAGACAACTGTTTTAGTATTCACTTTTTTCTAAGCTGAAAGTAAAGAATAAAAAACTCCATGGGCCTCATGTATAAACGGTGCATACGCATAAAAAGTTACGTGCGCCAGGTTCTACGCCCACGTTGTGATGTATCAAAACCTGCCGTGAGAACGTGCAGCAGCCATGTAAAGTTTTTCAGTCGACTGTTTTAACCCCACAAAGTCATGAATCTGACCTGAATCCACAAAAATATGACTTTGTTCTGTTTTCTGGATGTAAGGAGCGTCTGAACACGGTGTAAGATTTTTTTCGTTAGTTTTTATTGTTAAAACTTGAACGATCATGAAACTGAACCCCGGGGACTGAAAATCATTTAACCTCAGACAAGAAAATAGATCAAAGTTATTTTATTGTTGTCACGTAGTAGGAAACACACGCAGAGCGCAGGCCTGCGGAGCGCACACACAGCTGAGGAAATAAAATGTGTAAATTGTCTAAGAAATATTTTAATTCTAACTGAGAAAAAAACTTTGTCAACTCAGCAAATTAATTCAGAACAGCTCAACTGTGATGATTCCTCAGCCTCACAAGATAATAGATTTGTTGCTGCTTAAAGTTGTGCATAATTTATGGATCAGTGCCAACTGTTGTGCAGGCTGATATCCCCACAAAAAGAATTGAGGACAGCATGGTTTTTCTTAAATGTATTTATTTTTTGTCACACCAAACAAATTACAAACAGGTATTTTACTGTAGTTCTGAGTTGAGCCATGCAGCTGAATGAAAGACTTCATGATTCTAAAATATAAATCTGCACTGCGGCAGGAACTTGCGGCGCCTCGTTCCTTCACTTCAACTATTTAATAAATATTTTTCTAAGTTCTACCAATCTCATCAGTTCCTCTGTGTTTACAGTCATTTATTAAAGACGTGTAAAGGTGGAAATGTCTCTCAGCCTCATGCACCGCTGAAAACAGCAGCTTCACACATGCTCGTACACACCAACACACATGCACCTTTGTGAGTGGCAAACTCATTTTTACACCCCACTACTTATTTAGACAGTTTTCTCACTCATTCTCCATTTCATTTAAATTTTCCTGCATCTAAAAATCATTTCTGATCCCACAGAGAGGACAATCTGAGGAGAATCTCACATGCTGGACACCTTTACATCTATTTTACATATTTAAATGGAGGCGTGTCAGGGGAGGTGTCAAGGATGTATAAAGGAAAGTTGCGCAGGAACATGCGCGTGCACAGTTTTATACATATGAATTTTTTGGTGCGGCGCACTTTTCTACATTTGTCCGCACGTCAACTTTTAGTGTGAAAGTTGCGCAATCCTTTATTCATAAGGCCCCAGAAGCTCAGCATGGCCACACCTGCAGCTGCTACTGCCTGCTTTTGCCCTTGTGTGAATGTTTGTTTGGCTTTTTGGTTTTGTTACTGAAATATCTAATCAACCACTCACACAAATTGTTTTTATTTGTTTGTTTGTTTAATTTAACCAGAACTATTATAATTCTTTTTTTCCCCGTTTTTATGTAAGATGATTAAAGTTCAGCTCTCTGGCTTGAAAAGTGGTAGACAAAATGCATTTTTCAAAATAAATTTTACACTTTATTTAAATTGATACGAATCTCCTGAGATTATGATTTGACTAATCTGTTCTATCAAGATAGTCAACAAGATAGTCAAGATAGTGTTTAGGTAAACTAGCTTGGTAAAAGTAATCGCTGTAAAATTTAAGCTGTCTTAAAGTGCCTGTGTATCCATTACATACCAAAAGTCAGAGAAAACATTCTTATAGTTAAGAACCCTGGCACGTTACACACTATTATACCCATTTTTTCACATAACTGGCATATTTCCTTTTGAAAATGGCTCAGCCAAAGGGAAACAGGAAGTGACATTAAAGGGAACTCTTTAAGAAGTTAAACTTCATGTCAATAGAAACAATATTATTTGAACTCTGACTCTTCTTCGTCTATCTGATAATGACTCAAATTATTGTAAAGAAACATCAGATTCTTCTCTCCAGTCTGTTGTAGCAACGCTTTGTTCACATGCAGATATTTCCCTTTGACATCATTTCCTGTTACTTCACAAGTGAATATCTCAACAACTGTTCATCTCAACAGCATGAATTACTATTATTTATTTTTTTTGCAGTATGCTGTCAATGTTATCTTTCCCAAATCCATATATTTTACAAAATATTTCATGTCACAGAGGCATTTTAAGATCTAATAAACTCAGGGTTAGATTACCTCAGATAAGTGTGTAAATGTAAAACTTGACCACTTCAGACGTATACAGAAAATAATTAAGACACATAAACCTGTGAAGCTGATGACTAGACACCCTGAATGAGATATAACGAGTTAAAAGACATTTGAAAACATTTTGATGGAAGTCTGAAAGTTTTGGGAGCTCTGTAGTTGCTTTGCAGAAGTTTGTCCAAAACTGTGACATAAACCAAATATAAATGTTTTAAGCTCGGCTAGTTCCAGCTAGACACACTACTGTATATGTAATATTAAATATTAAATATAGTCTGTCTTTTTGATGCTACTGATATTTTATTTAATTTTGTTTAATGTTTATTAAAACAGAGACATTTTAATGATAGTAATATTTTGTCCACTTATTTTCATATGCTTAAAACATGTTGCTGTAACAGTTTAAAAACCATGAAACCAAGGCATTGATAATGATGATGATGAAGATGTCTCTGTGCTGCAGATCTGCCCCCTCCATCAACACGAGAGCGCCCCCCCGGCTGCAAGACAGTGTTTGTGGGAGGTTTGCCTGAGAACGCCACGGAGGAAATCATCAGGGAGGTGTTCGATCCGTGTGGTGAGATCACGGCCATCCGTAAGAGCAAGAAGAACTTCTGCCACATCCGCTTCACTGAGGAATTCATGATTGACAAAGCCCTCTACCTGTCAGGTGAGCACGTTTCTTCACTGCTTTTACATCCAGGGCATGAATACAGATGAGCTTTAGATCCATGAACTGAATAAAGCCCATCTAATGTTGGTCCTGCTGCAGGGTACCGGATGAGAATCGGATCCAGCACCGATAAGAAGGACTCTGGGAGGATCCACGTGGACTTTGCTCAAGCCAGAGACGATCTGTACGAGTGGGAGTGTAAACAGCGCCTACTGGCCCGAGAGGAAAGACACCGACGCAAGATCCACGAGGACCGCCTGCGCCTGCCGTCCCCCCCTCCCATTGTGCACTACACTGAACACGAGGCTGCGCTGCTAGCAGAGAGACTGAAAGGTGAGAGACGCTGAAGGTTGATGCTTACCTACTCAGAAAGATTTGAATATGTTTGCCTCAGACGTGTCTTTAATAGCAAACCGAAAAGTTAATTTGGTCTCACCTGACCACAGCACATTATTCCATGTTTGGGGAATGGCCAACATGTTTTATTTATTTAAAGCAATGTTTTTCTCCTGAGTGCGTTTTTGTGGAACCTAAATCATTTTATAGTGAATATTTTAACTCATTTTATGGCTTCTGAAGGCAATGGTTGGGCCTTAAACATCAGTTTTATTAATCATTTTAATGTAAAGCATGCTTGGCGCTTCATGAGGATATAAACATTGAGTTAGTGTCACACATCTCCATCAGTGTGTTTGTGTAGTTATCTCCTGCTGGGAAGTCTAATAATAAAGGCAAATGAGTCTTTCTGGAAACTGCACAATTATTGATTTATGTTGTCAGGGTTTGTGTCCTCAGAGAGCGGATGGATACAAACAACACTCTGTGCATCGGTGTGAAACATTCAGACACTTAGCCAACAGAGAGAGAGGCTTTAATAAGTCTTGTTTGTTCATACCTCTGCTGGACCAAACCCTGACTTTGGACACAATGATTAATGTTTGGATCAGATGTGTATGAAGCTCATGAACTTATCTAAACAGCTCTGTGTTTCATGAGGCACCAGCTTCACAACCACGCTTTGCTTATCGTTGTAACAAATATTTATTATAAAACCTGTTAAAAGCAGTCAGTGCTCACCTGCTGTAACAAAAGTGTAATGACTTAATCTCAGGATTTGAAATCCACACAGGCGAGGTGATGGATACATGTTGCTATTTGTTATAATTTGTTGTTTTGTAGTTTGAGTTTATTTAAAGTAGGCTTTTAAATCCTTCTTTTTCACATTTAAACCATTCAGTTGGGGTGCATAAAAAGTGGAACTGCAATGCTTTGGTCTGAATTTCTCTTTATTCCGGCTTTACCAGCCCCCGCTTAGGCTACGTTCACACTGCAGGTCTTAATGCTCCGACCAGATTTTTTGGCGTAGTTGGTCACAATATATATTAAATGTGACTTTCATCTGACTCCAGTGTGAACCCCACATGGCTCTGATGTGACCTGCATGTGCAGAAGATACATGTCAAGTTGTATGGCTTGTTTGTAATTTCCACGGATTTTCCATCATTATGCAGGCATACGGACCTATAGAGCAATCTCATGGATTTCTTCATGTTTTACGGATTTTTTTCAAAACCTCACTTTCTAATTCATTTAACATGTCAGAGCCTGTAGGATGTTAAAAAAAACAATAATAATCAAATACCATTTCCAACCCACTCTGCTGCTAGAAATAAGTTCTTCCGTCCTCATTTCCTTCTGATTTTACTGCATCCGACAGTCCGCCTATGTACCCTAACAGTTTGGGTACGTAATGACCAACGCTGTAAAAGTTTGGTTTGGGCCGATCCAAGTTTAGCTGCATGTAATGTTTTACTGTTTTTCTGTCTTGTTTTTGACCTGAGTAAGACTGTGTTTTATAAAAGAAAGACTCATTAGAACGAATAATTTGAAAAACCTTTCAAAGGCAGGTAAAATGTTTATTTTGTTGCTGCACTTCTTTTGAAATCAGCCTGTTTTTCTTTAACCTACATTCATCAGAACCTTGTGAACCTGCTGAGTAATATTTAAATATGTGCATGGACTGTTTGTTGTTGTTGCTCTGAATCGTTCTCTCCAGACGAGAAGGTTTGACAGAGGAGGATGGAGTGACGGGAGGAGGTGCAGAGAGGAACCTGACATGAGTGATGTTTCTCTGGAGGAGTTTGAAGGTCACTGCTCCTCCTCCTCTCTGCTGTGGCTCAACATGCTCTCCTGTGTTTTCTGCACATTTACAGCGCAGAGCTGTTTCTCTTCTCTCTGTTGGTGAAAACACAGGAAGACTGGAATCAATTTGGTCATTTTCTGTAATTTAAACTCAATGAAATCCAATTCCCTACTTGTTAGTGTTATTACAGTTATTACAGTGATTCAATTTGTTGTTATTAGAGTTATCTGGAAAATTCAGAGACCTTCCTGCTGTCAGGAAGGTCTCTGGTTCAAATCTCAGCATGAAGTTTACATGCCTTCTTCATGCATGTGTGCCTAAACCATGAATGCATTTTTGTTTTTAGCTTCATTCAGACATATTTAAACCAAGGACAGCTCTAACCACTGATCTATCAAGCTCCCAACAATAAAATCAGATGTGCAGAAAACTGTAAAAGCAGCTTCATTGTTCTTCTGGATTAGTGGCATGTATAAAATTCTCTTCTTTATTTTTATGAAGTTCTGTATCTTGAGCCCACATTGATACAAGATTTTGAAAGTCTTAATATTGTTTTGTTATACGAATATGTCATATTTGGACAAATGGTGCAAATTAAAACACTACAACGTGGTACATTTATACAAATTACAAAAAATTGTGCTCATGTGTAACAGAAAAATACTTTCTGTTTTCACAAACCAAATAGTTTTAATATTGATATAATACAATAATGTATTTTTAAACACCATCGTGGCTCTCCTATCTGGATGTTTCCTCTGCCTCCTCTAAAGATCAGCAGTGTGTTGATTTGTTAATATTTGCTCCTCTGTAATCTCAGCCTCTGTGCAGTTTTTTTCTTCCTTTCCATCCTTTAATGCCTAAAATAAACAAGCATGTTTTCTTTCTCAATAACCCTTTTCAATTCTTCACCTCAAACAGCGGGGGAAATAAATTTCCTTTCTTCTGTGTTCAGCAGCGTTTCATTGTGCTCGCTGTAATGTGACTGTAATCTGCTGCAGGCACTGAATGGGGCTTTATCTGAGCTGGGAAAGTGTCTTCTTACAGGTTGTGTTGCTCTGGGTATTGAGCTCATTAAATGCTGTCTAATTCACTCTGTTCTCAGGTCGTCAGCGGCATCGTTCAGTTATTATTCAAATCGAGGAGAAAAAGCAGCAGACGGAGGCTCCACTTTTTATTACTCAGCCCGAATGTGGCTTGAAAGGTTTCAAATCAGAAACGTCTTTTGTGATCAGCAGCTGTGGTTGGGTTCATGGCGCCGTGAACAGCGGGCGCCCAGGAGAAGGTGGAAGTCCTCGCTTCCTGCTCGCTTGTTTGCTTAGCCTGACTGAATCTCTAAGATCCCATGAAACAGGCTTCATACCCTTCTGCTTGGCTCTGATTTGGTGAGATGAAGCATGAAAACAAGTTCCAGTCATCATCAAGGGAGAGAGTTTGCAGAATTTACACAGATTCAAACAGGAAATCATGTTTCTCTTTTCAACAAATGGCTGGTGCAACTCATCGGGACATTCTGTGTCTCTTACTAATGATGGTATTTATTGTTCCTCAGCTGCTCCTTCAGGATTCTAGCTGTTAGAATTGCACTAACACATACAGATACAGGCAGTTTCACAATCAAACCTCTGAAGATGATGTTTAATGTTCGGTTCCATCTGATCTATTCAATTCAATTCAGTTTGCTTATATTTCAACCTGGAGAGACTCACACAAAGACAGACTGAAAATAGGAAGTAAATTTATTAACACAAATTACAGAGTTTGGCGCACAGACCCTGGCAGAGGATGTGAGCACTGTGAGATGATGTAATCTTCGATGAGCTGCTTGAGATGAGGGATAGGAGTATTTTCTTCCCCCATCCCCCCGGGGCCTGACACTGGTGTTGGAGGTCAAAGGTGATAGAAGTCTTTGGAAGCCAGAAGATGAAGGTTGACGTTCGGCTGGCAAATGGCCGGAGTGATTTCAGAGGACGCTTTTATCCACTGACTGTCAGACGCTGATTGGATGAAGCTGTGCTTGTGACGCAGTGGCAGCATGGAGCAGGTGAGGTCAATTAGCCTTCCAGAGTTGAATTTTCGTCTCCAACTCCCAAACACAAAGTCACAACAAGCTTCATCTACACAAAAAACATTTTAAGGAAGCCAGCAGATTGTGTTGAATCTTCACATCTTGAGCAGCACATTAACAGCAGTGGAAAGGTGTCTCAGGCACAATCCAATAAACAATTTTATCCAGTCTGTTTTTGTTCAATAAGAAGATATGTATAAAAGTTGTATAGTCCAGTAAATCAAGATTCCTTGAGAAAATAAATGTCACTAGCTAGCAGCAGCAAAACAAGAGGTGACACAACACGTCTGACACTGAGGCCTATTCAGTTACCTGTTCTGATTCTGGTTCTGGGACTACTCTGTTCAGGTCCTCCTCACCCTGGATGACTCCTCCTCCACTCTCTCCATGACCTAAACCTGTGGTTCTCAATCCTGGTCCTCAAGGACCACTATCCTGCATGTTTTAGTTGTTTCCCTGCTCTTCAGTAAGCCTTTAATTTCTGCAGAAGCCTGCCAATCACTCATTCATTTAAATCAGGTGTGCCAAAGCAGAGAAAACAACTAAAACATGCAGGGTAGGAGTCCTTGAGGACTGACCTAAACAACCCACACTAACGTTGGTGGTAAATTTGATAAAAGTGCTTTAATGTGAGGCAGTCGTGATGCTGGTACACTCCTAGTACTCAGCAAATATTTTTCCCAGCACGCATATCTGATGCATTGTCATTATGTTCCTCTGCACCCTTATTATGCTTTATCTCCATATTGATACAACTTAGTCACACCACAGCCCCACCCTGCTCTGGAGTTAGCTTGTGTTAGGAGTCAGGTATTTGTTAGATGATAACTCTAAGCTATCACAACATGCCACAATCTCCAGAATTCTCATACATATACAGAAGGTTTCTGGGCCTCGGCCCACAGTTTCAGCCCTGCTTTGGAGAAAGAAACACATTTAACACTATGAAAGGATGCAGCTGAAGGGGTTTACCTTTACCTTATGTACCCTTCTCCTTTCCAGAGAGTCAGATCATTGTTGAGAACTAGTCACCTTTTGGTACTAACTAGTGACTGAAGGATGGCTGAGTTTGGTGCAGTGTTTAGTGGGGGGCATGGACTGATTGATAGTGAGAGCATCAGCAAGATGCAGAGCATGTGGGAGCCAAACCACCAGCAGTGCTGCAAAAATCATTTAGAGTTCTGCCAGATCTGTGCAGGCAGGATGGGGCCATGGCCTTAGCATGAGGTCAGAGTGGTCAGTTCTGTTTTAAGTTTTCAACAACCAATCTGCATCAGTACATGCAGGTCCTACCCAAGGTTTTGTAAGTAATATAACATGTAATGACTGGTGACTCACTACGAATCAAGAAAAGAAAAGAAAAAATTACCAGCAGCTAACAAATCCTGAACTGTTGCTCTGCTCCCACAGACGATAACAAGTTCAGTGAGGCCACGGCGGTTCTGTTCACCTGGATTGAACGAGGCGAAGTCAACCGCAGGACCTCCAACCACTTCTACTCCATGATCCAGTCGGCCAACAGCCACGTCCGCCGGCTGATGAGTGAGAAAGCTCTGCATGAGGAGGAGATGGAGCGCGCCAAAGAAGCTTTCAAAAACGCCCTGCTGGCCATTTTAACTCAGTGTAAGAACATTTTATTGAACCTGTTCAGTCAATGTGAGAGAACGTTTCAGCAGCCTGATGCCTCCTGTGATTTACCTGTAGCTGTGTGTGTGTGTGTGTATGTGTGTGTGTGTGTGTGTGTGTGTGTGTGTGTGTGTGTGTG